GGGAAAAGGAAAAAGGAAAAGGGAAAAAAAAAAGAATGAAAAAGAAAAAGAAAAAGAAAATATAAAGGTTCGGAAAACCCGAGATCGCCTTCTGCTTGTCATTTACTCATCTGAATATGCTGTGGCGTAGTCATTGGTTCAGGGAGCCCAACTTCGTTGAAGTTTTATTTTCTTTTTGCCTTCAGACGACATTTTGTATCCTTGCTTGCTCGTTGCATGCTGCATGGGATGGGCTCCCTCCAGGGCGCGGCAGTCATCAGGTATCTCCGGTTACCGAAAACCGAAACGAAATACGCAGCCTATTGGATGCATATCTACTCAAGACCAGGAGTTGCTTCCAAATACGGGGTTTAGTAACCAGCCCGTTGTCCAAGAGGGTTAATTGAGTGTAATATTGACCGGGGTCAAGCGATCTCGTTGGAAAAGGTCAAAATTTAATCTTTCACGTAAAGTTGCTTTGGTCTTGAACCGGGGATCAAAACATGGCGTCTGTCCAACCGCAGCGTCCTGCGTTTTCAGGGTTGTGGAATTCTTTTTTTCCCTTTTATACTTCATAGTTTGTGTAAAGTTGCTGGAGTTTGTCGTCAAGACAGGATCGTCGTTTATAAATTGGACATATATCAAACTCTGGAGAGTAACCTTGGCCCACTTTCAATCATCTCCGTTACCGTGTCCGGAGTACGGGAGTAGTTATACGCACTTGTAAACTTAGAAAGGAAACATGCAGCCGGTTCCTCAATGTCCCCAGAGTTTCGGCCTGTTGGCGAAGGCTCACCCCGTCCCAGCATCCACCAGCGCGGATTTATAGCTAGCTTAAGACTGCCTGACAACCTCAACCATCTTCAACAGGCACAGCGCGCAAACCTGTCTGTGAATATGGCAGTGTAGCTGATCCTTGCCTCCAATTGAAGACTGATTTTCGCCCTTGATAAGCCGGCATCGCAATAATGAAGGGTTGTAAACGGAGATGGCCACACGGGCTCAGCCACCTTAACAGATGTCTTCTTTCCGTTCCAGTGTTATAGAGTCATACCGGAGATTCTTTTCATATATATGGAGCAACTGTTTACATATCTAAAACTTTCTGTTGTGCCACAATACACATCGTGTTGGGTTTTCAGTGTTGCCATGGCGTAATGAAGGTCAAATCTCGAGCCTCCCTGGAGTTCGTCTTCAGAGGGCCTAAACGTCTTCGAGGAAGGGCGAACGAAACGTCCGCCGTACTCCGTCCGGGCTCGTGGGTCTCATATTGCCAGTTCTCGGTACGCTAAACTTCAGCTGCGGGGCCTCGTAAGCGGAATGGCTTGAGGATTGTGATAAAAAAGGGATGTGCTGTCAGGATCTTCGTTTTCCTGGGAACAAGAAGGATGTTTATAGCCCAAGACTAGTCCTTTCCTGGCAATCTGGCAAGGACGGGGAGTCAAGCAATCTCCTCAGAAGTCGAGAATACGGGCGAATGGCCGTATCTACAAAGCGTATGGGTAATCAAGCGCAATCATGGTAACTTCAGGTGCCGATGGTTCGGTTGTAAACTTTCGTGTTTGTCAGCTGCACGGAACAAGGAGGCCAGTGAAAATGTTATTGACATGATCGTTGCTCGCACGGTTGAACTTGCAAGAACATGCGCGGAGACGCCATCCCCAGCACAATTGGAACTATGGTCGTGGGATGGAAGAGGCCCACAGGCTGTGGGCCACGTAGGGTAGATTTGTTATTTTCAGCGCTTCGTTTGCTGTCCGCGTGAAGTTGAAGACGCTTTTTTCAAATTCTCCAAGGACCGAGTGTCCTAAAATACATTCATCATCTTAAAGTTTAAAAACTGGACTGAAAATGAATGAAACGAAATCGCCCAGCGGGGAAAGGGGGTAGTACTTGCTCATACTTTATATAAACTCCACGTCCGACCTGACTTATGGGAAGGCGTAGTATCGATATAAAATTCCATCATCCGATATAAAATTCCATCATCCACTCTTCTAAGAATTGCTCCCATCATGTCGTTCCCAGCTATTTTTCGATGGCTTGTATCTGCCATAACAGCACCACATTCAAAAATCCGGGGACTGTCTGCACTCCTTCAATCGCCTGCAAGCAGCCCCAAGAAGGATGACTACCATATCCAACAGGAGAATATAATAAAACTCCTCAAAGGAAGTTCATATACAATCCCTCATCTTGAGGAAGTCCTTGAAGGATGGTATATGGGAGTCAACCCGGCGTATGACAAGATAAAAGCTGAGGAGGGAGAATTCTTGAAAAAGTAAGTTGAGTCCGTCCGTGCCGCATTGAATACTCTTAGAGACACCGGTCTAACAACTTGCTCGGTATGAAGATGGATCGAAAGACACAACTTGAGAGAGATGGCAGTCAAGGTTGACTTAAGTTTATGCATTGCTTGTTTTTTCCCTCGAACAACGGAAGAAAAATTGCAAGTTCTCTTCGAGAAGATGGCATGGGTATGTATTTGTTTCTTGAAAGAATACCTCGAGTAAAAAGGAACCGCGACTAATCCCTGTTTTATTAGTTCTTTGCCTTTGACGATGGTAATGATCATAGCCCTCTAGCCGGGTAAAAAACGAATCACAAACATATACTAACAAGTCCCACCGTTAGACGTGGACAGTTTTCTCACATCAGAAGAATTTGTGAAGCAGGACCCCGCTGCTTTCGTAAAATACTGGCTTGACCCGAGCCGCAGCGGCCCAGAGCCATATGTTCTCCCAAGCTGCATCATCTATCGTACCGTTGGTCCCAAGCTTGCTGTGGGTTGGTCAAACGGTAAGTATAGACCATTAATGCTTCCACTGAGACTGAAGATAATGTGCAAGGCTAATCTTGGTATCTCCTTCTAGAATCCAAGGTCCAGTTTCAAAAGACGACAGTTGAATATATTGACTGCTTAATGGAAGTTAGCAAACAGCGAGAGAAATACTTACCGTCACTGGATGAATACATTGAAGGAAGGATAATCAATATCGGGGTCTATCCAACACTTGACTTGATACCGTAAGTCAGATGTCTTAGTATGCAAATGGCAACCTCAGCTAATATGAAATATAGTTACGCCGCCGACATCGAGGTATCTGCCGAGGTGCTAAGTCATGAGTCTGTGAAGACAATAAGATATCATATTGTCCGAATTATATGCTTGTGGGTATCGACGTCCCGTGGTAATGGGGCAATGCTGACCGATAGTGACGGTGACGTGAAGAATGAACGACATATTTTCAGTCAAGAAAGAGATTGTAAGTAGTCCCGAAGAGGATATCAATAAGGCTCAGTGGCTAACTGCATTGCTGGCAAATATTCAGAAAGACTGCCAGTTCGATAACATAATCCCCCTACTTTTGGTCCACAAGGGCATGAGTGTCCAGGCCGCAGTGGACTACACGGTTGGTTTGATAGAAGAGTCTTATCGGATTGTGAATGCAGCAGGGGCCCGCCTTCCCAAGCTCGAGGGTAAAGCGAAAGAAGATTTAGACACCTATATTGAGCAGTGCAAAGATCAAGCTGCAGGGAGTATATATTTCCAGTATGGTCAACCCAACGAATATGGTCAAGGAGACTAGCTAACTTAACAAACGTGACAACAGCCAATACTCACCGAGATACCTCTCCAAATCTGCTTTCCAGGGAGACAAAATTGTTGTTCAGTTATAATAGCGTGGAGTCAGGGAGATTTAAGTGAACGTGCGTTGTACTCGGGGTTCTGATTCAATTAAATAGGCATGTTTTGTTTTTATTTGTTGTTCGCTTTTCTTTTTTCCCTCGTCCTTGTTTCTTGTTCATTTTCCATGCTCCTCCAAATCCCCGTGTGTTGAATTTGCAACCGCATGAGAGCCGGCGCTGGTGTTGGTGCTGGTCTTCTTGTTGACGCAACCATACATGCTTAATATGGAACTGCATTGAAGTACCAAGATTATACATGGCACATTGATGGCCACTCATCTCAATAATAATGCGTATTTTATGGTATCAGCAAACTCTCGCTGCGACCACCCTGAAGAGTCGAAGTACTTGACTCGAAATGTCCTTTATTCGTATCCATTGTTGAGTCGCGCATGTAAACATCTGGTCTTTAGGTTTCGGCCGCACAGATCAGATATCAGTAACCTTCTCGGCTAAGGCTGAGATTTGAGGAAGCTGGGATCTTTAGATGCCCGGTGCGTACACTGTAACAACATCTCGATGGAGATCTATTTCACACCCCTATCTTTCGACTCATTGTTGTATCATCAGGAAGTAGAGGAAGAAATGTTCTCACTTTTAAACTTCGTAACCATCTCCGTACTCGGAATCGATGGATGCACGCCGTATTGGTCGATACGAGGGCACCATCCTTTGTACCAATGTTGGGTATCAGCTGCCAGATTCACTCTCGATGTAGCAACACGATGAAATGAAAGCTTCCCAGTCAAGGTCAGATTTGCATCAGGCCTTTCTGCACGTAATGATTAACCCTGCGAAGATCGATCTTCATGGCGTACGGGGTACTTATAAGTCCCTGTTCACAGTCTTCACCTTGTCGTCAAGTCTTTTTTGATGTTTTTTTTGCTTTATCCTGTTGTTGTTTGTTTTTCTATGGCGGGGCGCTGCTTATGTCATCTAAAAAGGCACCTAATCACGTGAACAGACTGTCGGGCCGAAAGTCCCCGAAACAAAATTGGAAGGTCCAGGCCAAATCAGGAAAATAAAGACGTCCTTCCATCGTTCGAGGAGCAACACTCGAAGTCGCGGTCGTTTTGATATCGAACATCTCCAGCGGCTAAAAAGCCATTCTGGATGTTTTTGTCTCGTTGCCTGTGTTGAGTGACTGAAAGTAAACATATCATACGGAGTATCGCGGTTCTAGACGCGATTTGGGTCATTAGACAAGGGGCTAGTTGCGAGTTAACTCGCTACTAGTTCGTACCCGGCCAAAGAACTCCCGAAGCGTCCGCAAACTTGCAGCAATTATGCGCTCCGGAAAACTCTCTGTGCCAATCGCCTTGATCTTATTGACCAATCCATGCATAAGCAATACTCCAGCTGAGAGTCCATGCCCAACGAGAATTCTGTTCTTTACGAGTCGTCCGCCATCTGTTGTTGCGGATGTCCACCGCAGGTTTTTCGCGAGTTAACTAGCTACGGGATGATGAAGCCATAAAGACTGTACAAGCACTTGCGCCATCTGGCGATTTCGTGCAAGGACGCAGAGGATAGGCTCTCTATAACTTCAAGGGGAGTCAAGTTTCATGGTGGAGAAGTTTAAGCTCCAAGCCACCTCTAAAGCTTCCTTCGCTGTGGATATACCGACACTTCCCCCGAATCCCCCCCATGTCAAGGCTGAGTCAGGTCGGTTATCCCAGCAACTAGCGGAGAGACGTGAGCCGGTTGAAATTTGCGACAGTCTTGAGCGTGACTGTGAAGGCTTTTTAATTCTTGTGACAACTCCTTACATATAACAAAGCCCTTCGCTTTCGCAATCGTTTGACCGGGATTTACTTAACTAATAGCCTCCTAACTCCATTTATCCTCGAAAAAGGACCTCTTAAGAACATAAGCAAGAACCAGAGCGACCTCATTGCATAGCCGAGTCTGTTTTCTTCACAGCTCAGCTCCGGGGAGGTGGGCTCATATCTATCCTGGAGCTCTTTACATCGTCATCATGGCGAAGCCAGCACCTAAGCTTCCTGTACAGCAGTTTGTGATACTGGGTAGGCCCGATGTTCACGCTTTCCACCCTGAACTCATATACTTTTTGGAATATCATTCCTGGCTAACCACGATGGCATGACTCCTTTCAATATTAGCTGTTTGTCGATTTGCTGAACCCGGTATATCCCCGCATTCTCCAATTCAAGTCATTCAGACCTCGTATAAAAATGACGCTGATATGCGAAATTTCACTATATAGTTGTCTTTACATCTGTCTTTCCATACCTAGTATGATACTCCATTTGGTCTCTAGTCCATCGGTGTTATATTGTGTGACATCCGTTGACCCCTGTGCACAATTACTAACGTGTTACATTAGCCTGAAATGGTCCGGACATTTGGTGTTGTCGAGAGAGATGTTGCAAAATGGGTTGGCGTCCTATCTGCCATATTTGCCCTCTGCCAATGCATCACTGCTGTTCCCTGGGGAAATTTATCTGACCGAATTGGACGCAAACCCGTAATATTAACGTGTCTCTCTATAACGATGTTTTTTACCCTTCTCTTCGGAGTCTCTACTTCGCTACCCATGGCTGTGTTAGCGCGCGCTTGTCTTGGGTTCAGCAGTGGGAATGTTGGGATCATTCGAACCGTTGTGGCCGAGCTTGTACCCGAGCGTGAGCTTCAACCTCGGGCCTTCAGTTTAATGCCCCTAGTATGGACTATTGGGAGCATATTTGGCCCTGCGTTCGGAGGAGCCCTTGTGAATCCAGTAAAGAAATACCCAGAAATTTTCAGAAATAGTCATTTTTTCAAGACGTACCCATTTGCCCTGCCAAATTTACTTTCAGGAGGCTTCTTTATTATCGGAATTATCACGGGTTTTCTATTCTTGAAGGTAAAGCTCATTCTCGGAGTGTTAACGAAAACAAGTTTATGGTTGCTGTACTTACTTCTTTGCTAGGAAACTCTATCATTCAAAAAGAACGAGCGAGACTATGGTCTCATCCTTGGTGAAATGCTAACTAGCGTGTGCTGCCGCTGCAGAAGAAAGCTGGTAAAGAATCCTGGGCATGGAGACGACGAATCCACTCCCCTTCTTGGTGACCGTCGGATACCTGTATCGGCCGCAAGTAAGGAACAAAAACGGCCGAATACCTCTGCTAAGTGGTCGGAGGTTTTAACCTTCCAGTCTGTGATAATTCTCTCAATATATGCTTCCTTAGGGCTCCATAGTGTTGCTTTCGACTCTGTGCTGCCCGTGTTTTTAAACCATCCAAGGCAGAAACTGGAAAATAACCCGGATGTGAAACTTCCCCTTCCCTTCAAGTTCTCCTCTGGGTTTGGTATAGGTATGTGATCATCTGATCTCATCAACCTCTGTCCTGATATCT